CAAGCAAGAATTTCAGAGATCATATATCTGTTGTAGAGACTAGTGAAAGAGAGGAAGAAATGGGCCAATCTGGCCCGTGTAAAGATAAACAGTGATTAGAGAAAGGAAACAATCCAAGGAACAAGCTGGATTTGGCAAGAATACATCAACACTGTGTTTTCCAACCCTGCAAGTGTACAGCCCCTAGGCAAGACCAACAACTCCAGTGGAACACTTCAGCCAGCAAACTGCAAACACTTTAAAAAACTGATGATAGGCTCTTTGGGAGCCTCTCTGGGAGGAGGATTCTTGTCTGGCAAAGTGACTTGCATACTTCTGGCACTAAATAAACCATGTCTAACTATGGTGCTTCTGTGGTCATCCATCGCCACACTATTTTTGTGCCTCACTGCATTAACCCACTCCATGCGTACAGTCCCTGTGGCAGGGGAGGCAGCTCTCTCCAGCTTGCCAACAGATGGCAGAGGCTTAATTTTGGACTTGAGGATGGACTTTTGATGAAATCCAGAATCATAAACCATTCTCTGGCATTAATCATACAAGTCAGGACCGCCCGTCATCACTACAGCTGCGAGGGCTGGGCATGCTTTCGGGACTCTGGCAGCAGCTCACACCACAGGAGCAGCACCCCTTCTCTCCCTCTTTGGGTGGCCCTTCAGTGGTCAGAACATTTGTTGAGGAAGGCTTGGGCTCAGAGCATCCCATGTTCTGTGGGGACTAGGGTCCCCAGTATTGCCTGGCCGGCAGGATCCAGTGGGGGCTGCATTTCCATGGCATTTGCCAAAGCAAGGTTGTGTAGAAATAAAGATTTCCAACATCTGTGAGGTCGATTCTGAAGGCTTGTGTTTGTTGGCATATTTAAGTGGGAAGCAAATACTCATTCTCTCTCTGCAGAGAACTTTTATATTGTGAAATGTATGTAACTGGGTTGCCAGAGCGGCCTGAGGCAGGGTGGCATGTATCATGACTGCTGTGAAACAAGACCCCTCTCCTTCCAGCAGCTTCTTATCTTTCCATTGTGGAGTAAGGTTTTTCTCCATCTTTGCTGTATCTCCTCTGTAGAATAGCTTCTTTGAAGAACAAGTCACTGATGTTGAGCCAAGGCTGGGTCTTGGCTGGGGTCACACTGAGTGTGTTTGAAAATTATTAAATGTGTGACAATCTTATCAAAATGACCCTTGCATGGGTTCTCCTTAGAACAACATGCGTGCCCAATGGGCGCTGCCTGCTTTTGTCCTGTTTCAAGACTTTGTGCTGTAATGCTATTACATACTTTGCTATATGGGCTAAAAATTCTAAAGTGGTGACTCCTAGCTCAGTGTGATTTACCCTGTTGTTTTCTGCTGTGCAAAGCTTTTTCAGTGGAGCTGCGATTTCAGGAGGATGTTTGCACAGAAACATAATGAGCCTTGGCTGGTCCTCAGGAGCAGGAGCTAGGCTGAATGGCTGATGACCTCACAGAGAATCTGGGCTATGCTCAGGCAGAAACCACTGAGCCAGAAACAAAAACCTGGAGGAGCTAAAGCAGGCTCTCCATCTCTACTCCATGCTAGTAAAGAGGCCTTGTCCAGAAGTCCGTGGCAAATGCTAGAAGACTCATTTATACTTTTTTTTTTTTAATTTTAAAAAGTATATATATTTTTTTTTTAATGGATCTGTGCTTTTCAATGTGTTTGTATAAACTACTCACTTGCAAATGAGTTGCCCTTCTTGCTTGCTCTGTTCTTATGAGTAGCTTTGAGCTTGCTCTTCTTTATGGGCATGGGACCAGCCAGCTGGGTCCCTACATAGGCTCTGTGATAACAGGGGTTTCTTTTACACTCTTGAAACCACACAGAGCAAGATTGGTTTGCTTTGTTGTCAGGTTTATCTGTTCCCATTTTGTAAACAACTGTATAGCAATATCTTTCTGATTTTCACTGTCATACAATACACAGCATTGGAGGAAAAAGGAGTTGTTTGAATAAGGAGCAAGACAAAGCCAGAATTTTTGTCCAATAGCACTTTTCTGGCCTTTTTTAGCAATTAATTATCTTACAGCAATAAATCACATTTTGCACTACAGGGATGTAAAGCCTTGAACAGTAAGGCTGCGGGTTATAGAATTGCTCCTCACAATGCTGCTCTGACCTCTTTCCAAAATCTGTTCTGCTTTCAAAAATTGAGAGCTTACTTATACTTAAAAGAGAAGAAAAAAAAGGAAAAAAGAAGAGTTGCCTTTGGCCAGAGATCAATCATGGAAAATTTCAGCCTCATCAGAGGATGTTTTGGAAACATATGAGGCCGTAAGCAGATGATCTGATCCTGATCCCACTTAGCTCACAGCTGTTTTACTCCTGCAGTAATGCCAGTGTCTGTAGTGGTTTTACCCATGATGTGCCACTGTAAGCTGAGATCAGTTTTGGGCTGCGGGTTACAATGACATCTGCTCCACAGCCCCTGCAAGAGCAGTTGCTGATGGGAGATAAAGATGTCTGTAGTGGGACTATTCATCTGATTAAGGGCTACAAGACCATGTCCCATGGAGCTATACATGTTGAGATAGAAACCTCAGGATATACAGACCTTTAATTGACATGGAAATCCTGACTTTCAGGTGTTTATCTTGACCAAGTGCCTCTGGCCTGCAACACGCATTTTGTTTTGGTACTTCAACCTTCAGGTGCTGGGCTGGATCCCCATGAAGTGAAAATATCAGTTACAATTACATGAAGCTGATTGGACTAAATCATCTGTCCCTTACAAGGAGAAGGTATTTATAACCATTCAAGGTTCATGCAGGAGGTGGTATTTGGGCAGCACAAAGTACACGTGACCAGTAGGACAACAGTGTTGAATGTGCAAGCACCTCTGAGTCTGTTTTTGTTTTTGAATGCCTTGTGTCATTGTATCCATCACTACCACTGCAGGTAAGAACACCAGTTTTCTCTCATTTTTCAAAGAGACTGGTGGAGAGAACTGCAGTTGCCTGTCTGCCTGTTGCAGTTTTCAAACAAAAAGAAAGGAGATTTAGATTGAACATAAGGAAGAATTTTTACAGTGTGGGTGGTGAGGCATCGGCATAGGTTGCCCAGAGAGGTGGTGGAAGCCCTGTTCTTCAAGACACTCAAGATCAGGCTGCACGGAGCTCTGAGCAGCCTAATCTAGCTGTAGGTGTCCCTGTTCATTGCAGGGCAGTTGAACTAGCTGACCTTTAAGGATCTCTTTCAACTCAAGTGATTCTATGATTATATGCTCTCATGATCTTATCCTCTGGAAGTGAAGAAAATAAGAGAAATGGTATAGCAAAGCTGATTTTTTTTTAATAATCATGTGTCCTCTTCAACCACTGATACAGCTGTACTCATTTTAAATTATGTGGATTACAGCATTGAAAATGGCATTTCTGCCTGTATATCTACTTCTCATGAATATTTCTGAGGGAAGAAGTGTCCTCAAACGTGCTGCTCCAATACTTTGAAGTACAGAAATTTAGCAGCTGGTCGTGTAAAATAAAGTAGCTCATCTATACACTTGAGCTGCTGCTTATCTTGTTCTTCCCTGGGTTTTTCCAAGAGCAGCAGTCAGAGGCAGGATGTTGGGTGAGGTGAACCTTTGGTCTCACCTGCAAGAACTCTTATAAGGCCCACATTTTTATAAATACAATACCTGATTCAGGTATGCAACATAATCTTGTCCTCTTCTTCCTCAGGCTGCATTGTACAGTTTGAACCACAAAATTATGTTCTGGTATTTCGTATACTCTACTCTGAAGAGAACTCCCCGGCAGCAACTCTGGTGCTGCAATTGCAGATACTGACTACACCTGTTGATGCACCTCCCCCGCTGCTTATCTAAATGCAAGCAGACTTTGAGGTAGCTCCTTCTGTTATAAATAAAACTTGAAATGAAAGATAGTTGCGTAACTGTAAATCACACTCAATTTTTATCATTCCAGGTCTTGGAGAGGTGAATTGGACAAATTTGTAAGTGATCTCCAACTTACTTCTATAATCATAGAATCATAGAGTGGTCTGGGTTGGAAGGGACCTTCAAGATCATCTAGTTCCATCCTTCTGCTGCTATAGGCAGGGACACCTCCCACTAGAACAGGTTTTTCAAAGCTCATCCAGCCTGGCCTGGAATGCCTCCAGAGAGGAGACATCCACAACCTCTCTGGGAAACCTGCTCCAGTGTCTCACCACCTTCACAGTAAATAATTTCTTCCTAGCATGTAGTGTAAATCTACCCTCTTCCAGTTTGAAGCCATTTCCCCTAGTCCTGTCGCTACACGCCCTTATAAAAAGTCCCTCTCCAAATGATGCAATTACACATGGCTGAATGCATCTATAAAAAAGCAGGCAAAACATTGCAAGTAACAAATGAATCTGGACTACTTACCTAAGTTATATTCAGTATTTCTTTGAAAAACGTTGAGCTGACAGGAGATCTTTGTTTGTTTCATTGTGAATTTTGCCAAGGAGCCTCTCAAAGTGGCTATTAGTCTGATTTGGTTAATACCAAAGTCAATGGAAAAATGCAGGCTGTAATGGAAATGAAAACACAGAACTTCTTATGATTTTATAGCTAATGAATGTCTAAAATTATTAATCTCCTTAAATAATTCTTAAATTCTTAATTCTTAAGTGCAGGGAAAGGCCATATTTACCAGAAGTTGAGCTAGAGGTATAAATTTGTAAATTTTTAATCTACTTTCTTTTAGCAGATGGAAAAACTGAAGCAGAATAGTTGCAACTGGTATGCCCACAGTTGAAGGATGGAGCCCCACGTGTAAGGAGGTGCAGCGACCTTTCTGGGGGCTGGCTGCTGGTGATTATTGAACAACCTCTCTCTTGTTCTGCATCATCTTAAATTTTTTTTCCTCTTTTGGTCAGAGTTAGCCAGACAGATCAGTGGATCAGAACCATCCTTGTAAATAATACGCAGTGTACGGCTTTTCTAATGGGAGGATTCAAAAAGACCATTATAGAAATAAGAAAACAAAGACTGAGAAATGACTCTTGTTGTACAATGTTTGAAGAATTTTTTTTTTTTCCCCTAAAAATGAATGAAAATAGATATTAGGGTATACACAAAATAAGCTTACATCTTAAAATAAACATATGCTGCTTTAGGCCACTTATGTAAAGCTGAATCTGACAGTTTCAATTCAAGTAAATATTGATAAGCATTCAGAAAAATCCCTTCTTTCAAAGTTTGGGCACTGAATCTGGGTGTCGCCATTTTGATGATAGTGGGCTGATATCTCAGCATACTCTCATAGATAAGTTTGACATACAAATAGGATGAGTAAAAGTGATAGGATCTGGCCCATGATCAAAATGCTTTATGATTTCTACTTTTTTGTTTTCAGAATAACTCTGTCTTACAAGATGATGACATGACAGTCACACAGGAAAAAAAAAAAATCAGACAGACACTTCTTTTCTGGATAGATTAAACTCTCTAGAGGCTGGTAAAAATGAAGCAAATCAAGTACATTATCTTTCATATTCACATCAACCCATCTATTGTTGAAAACATCAGAAGTCAGCGTGTTCTCATTCAGCTGAAATATTATTTCTGTGCTATTTCTAGAGCAAAGAGACAAGTATCTGAGAAGTGAACACATTTAATAATCAGCAATGGGAAAAAGAAAAACACTGAAAAAGCCAAAGCACGAAGTCCTTCTCTGTCAACAAATCCTGCCATGTTCATAGAAAGCCACTTGAAAAAGTAAACACCAGTTCCCATGAGTAAAAGAGCTTTGGTATTTCACCAGGAGTGGTTTTTTATCTGTTTTTCTCATTTTTTTCCCTTTCTTTGTTTGGAAGAGGTTGATACCTGCTTCTTTTATGATAACCCAGGAGTAGGGAAGGACTAGACAGCTGACTGGAAGAATTGGGTGCCAGGAGATCAACACCTGTCACTTTCATGTCATTTAACAAGAAGCAGACTGATCACCACATAAACACAAGTGACAGAGAGACTGTCTCATAACTAGGTGAGATGTTGCCTATCCTGACAGGTAGATCATTACCAATGTATGATCTTGAGGCCTAAAGGCTCTCCACAATTGTCTTTCCTTCAGTGGGCTACAAGCTATTTAGTGCAGCTGGGCATTAGCAGTCTAGAGCACGTTCAGCGATGCACTTGTGCAAAGCAGTATGTAAAGATAGAAGGTGCAAAATACTTTTACTTAGTCATTATATCTTTAGCCATACTCAGTGATGATCTAGCAGTTCCTGAGTAAACACCAGCACTTCAAAGAATGTGTGTGTTAATTTGGTTTTTGAAGTGAGAAGACAAGTAGGTGGAACGCATGACCTCTAATAAAGAGTCTTTTGATGTTACACATTATTACTAGTTTTGATGGCTGCTCATTTTAATTTCTCAAAGGGTATCATCTGTAACATCTTATTCTGCCCACCTGCAGGCTCTGTTTCTCACTTGGACTGGTGACTGTCAAACAGTACACATTAGGGAGTGAAGCTCAGCCACTTTAGTAACTTGAATGGAACAGGTTAAGAAGTTCAAGATGTGCAGGATAAAAATAAATCCATTGTGTGTTTACAGGTATCATATGTGCTGGAAATACATGAGCATGTCTTACTGAGAAGTCTAGGTTAACTTAGCTAAGATGACCCATCTACATTTCTCCTCTGCACATCTGGATTTATCAGTGGTATACTGGTGTGTGTGTGTCTATAGTAGAAAGCATCAGTACATAACAAATCTCAGACTTGTGGGTCATTCATAGCCAGCAATGGTGGTATTTCATCAGCTTTCTAGTATATATTAATAGTATACAGTGAAATACCATTTGGATAGCATGCATTGATTTTTCTGTGGCATGATATCTAATTATGAGACAGCACTCCAACAAGAATGCCTGTATCCTGTTCATATATGGTGAATCATTCTCTATTTTTCCTGTTAATGACTCAGCAACTCACAAACTGGGAGTGACCATCTATTGTCTTTTTGATCTGCTAAATGGCATCTGGCAAAGCCATTGTTGTGTAACATAATTGGTCAGAGTGGGCTTACTGATGACAGGAAGTCAAGGATGTATCTGGATGGTCACAGAGTCATGCCTCATTAGTGTGACCACATATGAAGTGCTACTATTTGCATACTGATGGAAGCATGACTGTCCCACAACAGAGGGGACTGCCACTCTGATGATTATATCATGTTGCAAGAACTTGTGCAGATGTCTGACCATGGCTGCTGTACTCACGTGACACCTTTTTGTGGCCATTTTCCTGTACAAAACAAAGAATCAAACAGTTGTCCTGTTTGGTGTAACTTCTTGTAGACTATCCTGAGGTACCACAGGTAACTGGGATGCATTTTGCTCATCTAAACAGTTCATCCTTCAGCTTTTCAGCTTTTGTGACTGCCTGATTGACTAAGTGGCTCTTCTTCCCATGCAAGGTCTGTCCTTTTTTCTACTGAAGGTAAATGGCTGTGTGGGTGAGCTGTTGATTGATCGTTTAATGCTCTCTCAGACAGAATTAAGTGGGCAGATCTTTGTGCAGCACTGTGCAGTGAGAGCTGCATTTCCAAGAACACCTCAACTTTTCATCTATTCATGCTCATGCACTTGCTTAATCACGCTTACCCTTACCCTGAGTTGTCAGAAGTTGATGAAGAATTTGGCTTTTCCCATATACTTTTGTGCTGGATCTTGGTCTCCGCTGCAAATCAAACAGCTTGAGTCAATCACAACACCATCATAGAATGCATGATGTGAGATACTGTCCATGTTTGGGGAAAACTGTGTCCTGGTTCTTGAGCAGAGGGTTCTTGTACCCAGCAGACAATCCTTTCTGCGTTAGCTAGCATGTGTAGAACCAACTGTATGACCGGAGAGCAGCTGTATCCTTCTTGTTTCTTCACCCTGACATTCTGCATCATAGTTGATGGGGAAGGCTGGAAATTGAACAGGTGCAAAAAGTTATTGAATGTGTTAGAGTCTCAGTCTTCTGTAGTGTACCTTTGATTGGGCACAGTGTTATGCATACAGAGATGAGATATGCTGAATGAATATACCTTTTAGAGTTTCAAATTTAGTTTAACTAAGTTAACTTCTACCCATCGAAAGATTTCTAAAGAAAGGAATAGCTACCTAACTACTTACCTACTATCTCTTCATAAGATGTTTTCTGAGGCTGCACGTCTGAACAGAAAAGGGATTTTAGAAATGGAAAATATTACATTAGATCCATTATTAATAAGATTCCCACAGGTTTTGCATTGCAAAGATTAAAGGTGTAACTCCAGAAATTGAAACCAAGGGAAGCTCTCTGTAAACATAGCAGATATACGGAGTACTTTGGGCTCTGACAAGAAGATGCCTGATCTTATTTTTTATCCAGTAAAGGTCATAGTGTACATCTCAGCACTCCTGTGCTGGAAGATCCACCACAGGACTCCAGTGATCTTCCTGCTATGAAACAATTTCATTCTTTGCATTGCTTGAGACATCCTGTATGGCCTCAGGGAAGTCATTTAGCTTCTCTGTACCTCAGTTCTTCTTCTGTAAAATGGAGATAAGATTTCCACCCTTCATTATGGCATTATAAAGAAGAAGGCAGCAGAGATATTCAGGCAGTACAGTTGTAAGATTGCAGATAAAATTTATTGTTCACTCAAATCTAATTCTGCATTAAAAAAATCTGCATAAAACTTGCAAGATGTAGATATGTATGCTGACAAAAACAAAAATGATCTGTTTCAGAGCGTTATCCTGACACCAACGCTGCCTAGTCAGAAGACCCTGGACTCTTCGAAAGGAGCTTGCAGAGTAAGAAATCAAGAGACAGATATGCCATAGCAGAGTAAGACTATTGCAGCCAAATATGAGGGTTCTGTCACATTTCTTTGGCAGTTTTTCCCTCTCCCCCCTTCTCCACTGTGCCTTGCTATGTTTCCCACCTCCCCGTCCTTCCTGACCTGCATATTCCCCTCTGCTGCCTGACCCAGTGCTCTCGCAGGCCCATGTCTGGTGCCTGCCTGCAATCCTGCTGCTCCTCAGCAAAGAACCTGCACTGCAGGTTTCAGCTCAAAACAAACATTCATGGCTGAGTTATGAACCCCCAGAGGGATAAATACTAAAGTGGATTAAAGAACTGACTCTTTGCCTTTGGCTCCAAGCCATGCTAGGACAAAAGTTAGGGCAAGTTTCAGAGTTAACTTCTTTTTGTCCATGCAGCTTGGGTCTGGACATGGTGAAAAAAGGCCAGGGATGGAGCACTGCTGGTTAAGACGCATTGGCAAGGCTTTGGAAGGAGCCTACACAGTGTTCCAGCCAGTCTGACATATTTAGCCATGACAAGTTTTGACAGCATTTCAGGAAATGTTTCAGCTTCCGATGCAAAACCCAATAACTATGGACAGCCATCTTCCCACCTATGGGAGGAGGAGGCACCCAGCACAGCTGTGCAGGTGGAAAAGAGCCTGTCTAAGAAACACTTAGGATCCTCTTACACAACATCATCTGTGACAGTGGCACAGGAACATTAGGTCAGGCCCTGTGCCTTCTCATGGCTAGGCTGTGTCCTTCATGAGTGACTGCTTGCAGTCCTGTGCCTTCAGGATGGTGTTCCCTCAGGGTTCTTGGTGCCTCTGTGATTCACAGTGTCCTCTGCTGAAGAGCTAGTTCTCTCACACCTCACAGATTCTAGAATAGTGACTAGAAAAGTCTCCCATAGTAGTTTTCAGGCTTTTTCCCTGTATGTTTGAGTTAGAGAAGTTCCCAGGCTGTCTGGAAGGCTTTCTGCCCTCCCCACATCCCTAGTAGAGAAGGAGGAGCAGTGCACTGCTCGGAGACTTTTGTTCAAATTGTCAACTTATGAAAGCTGAATAACAGAAGATTGCTTTTATAAACTAAAAGACAGGTCCTTATGAAGTATGTATGTACGTACAAGTCAGTGTTTGCTCTTCCTGTCTCCTACTGACAGCCATCTTGAGGGTTTAATTCAGTTTGCTGTTTGTAAAGTGGCAAACAGAAGAACAACATCATTAAGGAAGTCTTACCTGAATAATAATAATAAATATTTTCCTTAGGATAAACAAAACTTTTCAGTATACTAGATTGCCTAAGAATATTTTGCAGCCATTCACTCATGCATGACATCCAGGACATGGGACAGGGAGGGTGAGCAGCTGGGAAAGGGATAAGATAGAAAACTGGAGTAAATGAGCAAACTCTGTAAATAAGAGCATATCTAGGAAGATATTATTCTAATATCATAAACTGAAGGGCAGGATGCTGGATAGGAGGGGTGTTGTAGCTGTCCTGCACTGAACTGGCTTTCCCTGGACTTCCTCAGTCCTCTCCAGGCACCCCAGGTCCTGCAGGCTCAGTGGTGGCAGGGGATCTGAAATGGCCCCAGCTTCAGAACTTCTGCTCAGGAAGCACTATGGCATGTGTGTTACTGCTTTCCAGAGCCAAATAAGTTTATTCTAAATGAAAAAAATACTTACAAAGACTTTTCCTTTCTGATCAGTAAAGGTCTTAAGTAGGGGCTTTGAAGGAAACAGGAGTACTGTGGCTGCTTTTCACTTATCTCCTCTGTCAGAGCATTGAGGATCCTAATGGTTAAACAGCCAGTCAATGACTCGAAGGGCTTTGAATAAAGCACCGTGACCTCTCTCTTGATTCTTCAACTAAAAAGAAAGCCAGTGGGGAAGAAAACAACCTGAGACTGAGACCATATTCCAGCCATTGCCTTCCTTCCATACCTGCACAGATTGCACTGGTTGGGATGGTGCTCAGCGGTCTTCTGCACCCTCCAGATTTCCTCAGGCACTTCTTCCAATCTCTTCCTTCACTCATTTACATTAGTGTCATGGGCTCTGTTTCTTGTTGATGGCATATTATAACATCTACAAGAGGGAACAAAACAGAAATGAAAGGACAAGAAAGGTCAATACCTTTTTGTTTTTATTAAATGTGCAAGTTTTCAACTTGTTCCGACTTCAGTTAGGCTTCTGGAAACATCCAGCAGATGCTGAGTTAGAAACTAGCAAAAACCTTATATTTACAAACTGGCTCTTGTAATGGGCAAACAAGTCTTGCAGATATATTTGGAATAATTAATAATAAGCTGTTGCTATCTTCCTCAGAATTGGTTAAAAGAAAGTTACTGAGCTGTGTCACATGTATAATCAATGAACACATAGATGTTATAACTAAGAAATATACAAGAGAATTTGGCTAAGAAGGTTATTATACAAAAAAGGATAGAGAACTTATCCTTGTCCTGGGCTTACCAGAAAACTCCAAAGGAAGGATCTCCAGAAAGAAATCCTTCCCTACTGCTAGTCAGCTCTTAAATGGGTCTAGAAGAGGTGGAGCCAAGCTCCACCCCTTCCGGCAGCACAGGTGAATTGCCTTCACCTGTGATCCCAGGGGTGACTCATTGCTCGCCTCAGGTGATCAATCAGAGGTTCAGGCCGTGATTCAGGAGTTCCCTACAGTCACACTTGAGCTTTGAGCTCTTAAAACACATCATGAATAAATTTGTCTACAGGTATATCTAGATTTATATCACTGTTTTCATTTGGTATCCTCTACAGCAAAGTCAGTCTATAGAAAAGAGGAAAAAAATTACATTTATTTTTAACAGTTTATAAATTCCATGAAATTGTTACCTAATGAGAAATAACATGAAAATCTGTGGATTTACACCAGAAACTAGTTTGGCTTCACTGATGAGCAAAACCTAACAGTGATAGAATACACCATGTGAGAGGTAGCAACACATTTTTATTGTTACTTCATTATTTTTTTGGCAGGGTTGTGTTTTACAGTAATAGCTTACCAGTTTGCTTTTACAGCATGGCATAAGGAGAATGAACAACCAGATCCTGCCTGGCCGGGTAGGCAGGGATGGGAAGCAGTTGCCTGACGTTCTCTGCTTTAAAGACGTCCTTGTCACAGCGCTGCAACCTGTGCTGCTTTGTTGTAGAAAACAACCTCTGGAAGGAAATAGGCGTAGCTACTGATTACAGCCAGTTGGGAATTTTACAAGAAAACATCTTTCCACCGGAAAGAATGCGTGTTTCTCAAAACAGAAATGTTTGGGGAAGCTGAGAGGCTCTGCACTTGCTGGGCTCCAGGCTGAGATTCAGCGGGTGGATGCCACCACTGAGGGGTGGCAGGTGCTGTCTGCCCTGGGGGCAGAGCTGGTGGCTGCTCCCCTCACTTCCAAAATAACCCCACATTCCCAGAGTTTTTTTTCAGATTATATTATGCTATTTTTTTAAGAAGTATGGTCTTCAAAATATGCGATTCTCTGTGGCAGTTTTTTTCACCAAATAACCCCAAATTTCTCAGAGTACTTATTCTGTGTACCTAAAACAATTGTTGTTGTGAAAACTTTCTCAAGTAGCAAATGAAATTACTTTACAGACAGAGGGAACATACATACTTTCATTTAATTAAATAACTCGGAATATGATTTATTTCCTGAAATTGGAAGTGCTGTGCATTCTGAGTTCATTATTTACACACACGTTCACAGCTCAGTGATCATTCTATTACCAGGGAGTTTCTAATAAAATATAACTGTTTTTAGTATCAGAACACTGACCCTGTTTCAGTGGCACAAATATTCCAGTTATTTTACGTGCCCCAGCCACAAATGATTCTTTCAGCATTAAATAGTGCAGTAAAAGCTGTGTCTGTTTCAACATTTTTGGAAAGCTTCAATGAAGTAGCTGCTATCTTGCAGAGAAATGCAGCATGGAATACATTGTTCAGAACTCTTTTTTTTGCACTATGTATCAAAAACCCATTTTTCTCCTTATATATTTTGGGCATATGCTAAACTCAAAATGTCTAACTTCTTTTTCTGATACCATGGCATTGTATTGGTTACCCTGTAGAATATTGTGTTTTAAGTGTCTGTAGGTCTCTGTCTTTTGAGTTTGCAATCATTTTTTAGAGTTTAAATGCTTTTTTCCCTCATAAAATTGCTCAATTCTTTTGTAAACTTTCTCACTCCATATATGTATATTGAAATATGGGCTACACAGTGATACTTTCTTAATTCTGCAGACTGCTGGGTGTAATAGAAAGAGCTATTCACACCCATCGTTGTTTATTGTAGGTGTTTCTAGGGAATCACTTAGTTTGTAATCCAGCAGAGATTTCATTGTGCTGTACAAACACGTTTCTCACAACTTTATTATCCTTGGCTCTTTGCACTCAGCATTATTTCTTTCTGAAGTCGCTTAAAAGGTGCTGTTATTAGGAGGATATTTAGAGGAAAATAAAACATTGGCTAAATCTGCCCAGTGAGCATCCTCTTATTTGTGATGCATAGTCAGACTGAAAGGACTTTCCCTGTGCCAGACCAGGCACTGTTTTTTCTGCGGCTATCAATGTTTACACATCAATAGAGAAGTCTTGTGCAACACAGCTCTTCTCTATTGCTAAATAAAAAACAACAGAAAGCCATGTGGAACACTCAGGTTGCGTTGAGAAATTCCTTCAGGATACAGTCAGAAAGGTTGGTGGCAGCCGATGCGGTGAGGGAAATTAGAAGAACAAGAGGCCTTGCATGAGCACACAAAAGAGTGCAGGTCCATGCGCAACTCAAATTATACCTAGAAAGGCACAGTCATGAAGGTTAAAATTCTGATGCCACTGAAATAATTCCCATTTATGTGCTGCTTGTTGACAAGAGCTGCTGACTTCTTTTCTGCAGTATATTCCGGGATTTTAGAATTTGCCTGTGTCAAAACTTTGAGATGAAGTCTTCTGAAGACATTTAATGTTGATCTTTTCAAAAGCAGCTTGCTTTGAATTGATTGTTTTGACTTGTTCTCTCTTCTCTTTTCACTTTCTATTTTCTCATCTGTGGAGTTCAACCATTATAACTTTTGAAGCTGTCTGAAAGCTCAAATAATCCAGATATGGGTAGCTTATGCCTCAGATGTGAGAAAGCCCATTACTGCTGAGGGACACAAAGCAGGGATTTTAATTAAAACTACAAGGAGGTCTTTATAGAACCATTGCTTTACTATTTAATAATTTCCTACTCTAGAATTTTTTCCCAACATTTTCTCTTCAGGTATTTTAGGTTTCTAGATGCTGACTTTAGATTTTCTCATTTGATCTCTGATCTAGAGCTGATATGAACAGAATAAGATCTACTTATGGGCAGGAAAAGAAGGCATAACCTTTCAATTTTTTTTTTTTTTTTTCTTTTACCGAAACAGCATTTCTTGAGACAATTGTGAAAAAAATGCTTCCATTTCCATTTCCAGTTCCAATTCCAGTTCTGGTTCCATTTCCATTTCCATTATTTCCTTTTCCATTTCCATTTCCCTTCACTGCGTTACATAGCTAATTACTGTCACAACAGCATCAGACTGAAAACAGCACCGAGCCTCCTTTATTTTTGTAGCATTTATCTTCCTACCTCCAGTGCAGGATAGTGCCTGGCAATATTAATAGCCTTTTGCTTCACTAGTTCTTTTATATAGGGACATTAAAATTGATTTTCTGCATCTTGGCATATGAGGATTCAAAAGTGTGTTACATGCCCTATTGCCCAAAAATGTGCAGTCAGAGAGCAAAGGTTCTGGTGACAGACACTTTTATGGTATCAGGAGACCTGAGCTACTGAACTGGAGGAGCAGAGCATGACAGGTGTATTTATAGTGCTGCTGAGGAATTAGCCTACATTTGAACTGGCTGCCCAGATACTCTGATTTAAAAATCTTCCTTCCTGACATGAGGGGAGCAAGGCTGAAAAGGAGAGTCAAACTTTGCAAGGAACACTTTGTCATAAAGTAAGAAGGACATCATTCCTTACAGCAGCAACTGGCCGAGGGAACTACTGGAAATGTATTTACAGTTTTGAAGCAATAAAGGTACAAATTAATGTTGGAGATAGAATTCTCAAATGAGAGAATACATGGGGAAATTAAAAAATAACGTGCCACCAGAAAATGAAAGAATTCTGAGCATGAAACAACCAAGCTACTGCCAAAGTTTTCCAGTCTTAATTAAAACCAGTTTCCTTTTTTAACAGAGATTGTGGAGATCATCTGCAGACACGCAGGCCGGTAAGCATGAGTTTGGGAAAAAGACAGCTGGACGGAGCAAAGATGTAAGATAATATTTTGAAAGCCCAAGAGGAAGATTATGTGCTAGGAACAATCTGTTGAGATCACTTCAAAGGAAAATAACCTCTCTTCTTACCTAACAGAATTCTTCAAGTTTAGCCACAAAATGATCAGCCTGGTTGAGGCATTCTACCAAGGTCATATTATGTATGTGCCCATTGCTCCTTGTTCTGCCACTGGGCACCAGTGAAAAGAGCCTGGCCCCACCCACTGACTTCCACCCTTTAGATATGTATAAACATTGATAAGATCCCTTTTCAGTTTCCTCTTCTCCAGGCTCAACAGTCCCAGGTCTCTCAGCCTTGAAGAATGAAGATCTACAGTGTTCCTATCCCTACTGAACAGTCCTTTTTTAACATATGGAAACCAGGTTTTGGGGCTTGCTGTATTTATGGATTGATTTTTATATGGTGTTAATAGTGATCTTTAAACAGAAAAACAGTGAGTGTGGTATCACTTAAGACCAAGTAGATCACTGCGAGAAAGTCCTTCGTTTCTCCTCTCGTCCAGTTTTCAGGCAGTGGGAAAGACAGCGCCTGTTTCAACCCAAAGTCAAGGGGAGTCTTTTTATTGACCACAGTGTGCTTTGGGTAAGGTCTTTAATGATCATGGTTATCCTGAAGTTATTAGAAAGAAAGCAACGAAGAGAAGAAAAACATTTTTCTGTCACTAAATTCATGATCTTATAATTGTGTATAGCTCTCATCTTTCTCTCAGAAAGGATAAAGCAGAACTAGAAAAGAAACAGAGAAGGATAATAACAATGATCAAAAGAACACATGGGATACGCTCTGTAAGAAATATTTCATTGGGCAAAGATCTGGAGAAAAATATGGTAGAGATCTGTGTAATTATGCATGGCAATGGAGAAAGTGAATTGGGAACAACTGGTCATTGTTCTGCATTTGATAAGAATTAGAGTAGGCCAGATAGGATTATTATCCAGCAAGTTCAAAAGAAACAAAAGGAAGTACTTTGTCATGTAAAATGTAGCTGAAATATGCTTGTCATAGGATGCTGCTGATGCTAAATGTTTCAGTGTGCTCAAGAAATGATCTGATAAATTCATGAAGGAAAAGACCTATCATGTACAGGAATATTATATTTGGCTCAGGATGGGCAGAAATCTCAGAAACAGAGGAGATTTCATGGGAAAAAAAA